TCACTTTTCGCCTGGGGCCCGCGCCCCTGCTCCGCCCCCCCGGTTGTTACGCCACTGCTCACACAAACATGCAGAATCGCGTGAACAAATACGCCTGTCGCTTGAAATAGTCCCTGAGCTTCTTTTGTCACGCATATCAGCTCGTTTTGCTCCGTAGACTTTTTGCGCAATTCCGCGCGTTTTTATGCACATTTCAGCAGCTGAGCCTGAAAACAAGCTACAAAAACGTGCTGACATACGAACAGAAAACTCCTGTAATATGCGCTGAAATGCACATAAACACCATGCAGAAGTGTGCTAAAACGCACTAAAACAGAGCTGAAACACTGTTGCCCCGGTGTGAATGGGGCCTCAGGGGGCCCAAAGGGATGGTCTTCCCTGTTGGGGCAAATTAGACCACAATATATCAGTTTTTTTGCCTTCCTCTGGATCAAATGTGGGTTTTGGGTTCTTTGGATGCAGGTTTAGTTTTCTCTATTGGTTTAACACAACTGACATTGGCTTTTTTGCATTTTCATGACCTTTTCTTTCTTTTGTACTTGTTTTCTAGAGAAAAGCCTTGAGCTGACAATAAAATACATACAGTATAGACAGGCCATAACGCCTGACAACATGATTCAAACTACAGCTGTGTGCGAGGGTGAGAATGGAGCCACCCTGCTGGTACAAACCGTGACTACATTGAAGAACCCGGCACTGCTGTTTCGGGTAGGACTTCTCGGCTATTCTCAATTTTCTTACTACATTACAGTGGTCGGCGGTACAATAAGGGGGTCTATTTAAAAAACAGAGATGGCAGAGATGAACAGAGGGTGGTGCTATACAAATGTGCATTGCGCTCCTCTGACTTCCAACTTGTGTGATAAGAATGAATGCAAGTAAAAAGTCTCCAGGAGAGTCTTGTCATGTGACCTGTCAGGCACAAGAATGGCTCTCCACCTACGATGGAGTCTTCTCTGTTGTTTAGGATTCCACGGGCTGCATACCACAGACCACATTTTATGAATGGCAGACCGTGATGTGTAGAATGCAAAGTACAACCGAGGGCAGATAGAGCCGTTCCCTGTTATAAACAAATCCCTTATTTATCCATATTGAGAGGAAGGGAAGTAGGCACTATAGCCATGTTTTCCCAAGCAATGGAATATGTAATCACAATCACAAATCTCATTTAGCATGTTATGTCATAGCAAAATTAATTTTCAATTATTTTTTTAAATCTGCAGCTTTCATTAGAATAAAAACTGGTGATCCTGCCACGAAAGCCCTTGTTCAGGCACTTCCTGTTATAGGGTGATAGTGCTTTGTTTGAACTTCCTAACTAAGCTCCTGCATTGACGCCCTGTCAGCAGGCTTACGATGGGAACTACAAGTGGCTGTGCCACACATTACACAGAGACATGGCCTACAGTTGTCAACATCAGGAAATCCCCCCTGGGAAGTTTCATGCCTGCATTTCAGCAGCAACGAAGGATGAAATAAAATATAAAAATAAAAGTATTTAACAAACAATTGCAATTGGCTCTAATACATATTGCCTTAGCACTCTTAATGTTATTTACTCTGGGTTATCTGTACTTGAAAGGAGCATTATGGGGAGAGTGAAATACGCTCATCCCCATACTAAGACACTGAATCTGTCACACGTCAGCTCTATAGATCGAGAACTGAGCGATCACATACCACCGGCTCAGTGCCTGATCTTCTCCCTGCAGAGAGTGGTGACTGTCAATCACACCCTGCAGGGATCCCCACCTCCTCTCTTTACTTCAGTGCTGACTGGAGGGACGGACAGAGGAAATAGTTTCTGTAGTCCAGAGAGATAGGAATCATAAGAGTGCAGCACAGGTAGAGAGCACACAAAATTACTAGCTCACAAAATTTCTGTCATGATCAACAGGTATTTTTCTGCACTTATTAAACATAACAAAATGCTTTCAATTGTATATTTAACAGACAACAAGGGAGAAAATAGGTTTATTGTTGGGGGTTTACATACATTTTAAATTGTATATATTAGTTTGCTACCATGATACCAATAATATTACTACAGATTGTATATTTATTTTATTCATAGACTATTGAAGACGTCAAATTAAACAAAACTTCAAAAGTGGATGTTATATTTACTAATCCAAGTAAAGAAGAGGTCTGTAACAGTGTTTTGATTGTAGAGGGGAGTGGCCTTTTGAGCGACCAACTGTTTATTAAGTGAGTATAAATATTTTTTAGAAAATGTAAAAGAAAAAGACCACTTATGACTGTAATAATGCATATTATATTTTTATATTATCCTGGCCAATGCCAGTCATGGTAGGCTGTTTAACCTGCACTGATTGGACAGGACAATTTCCAGGAATGTCTAAAATTAAGTGGTCTATCATATGCAAACCATTTTTCCATGTTAAAGGAAGCTGACATTTTGTTTAGCCAGTCTTGTGATTTACACACCTCTGCTATAAATCTTCGGGATCAGATTTACAGCGTGTCTGCTCACCGGGGAAATGTATTGCCAATTTGATGCAGGTGACACAGGGATCTGCAAAAGCAGTCCACGAAAATCAGTTGTCTCTTCCTTCGCAATACAGTGGAGCATATGGATCTGAATCACAAGACTTGCACAGAATTTCAAATCCCTTCACAAGAAAAATAGTTCAGAATTATAAAGCTGAGCTCCAGGCAAAACCGAGCTTTGGAAAGAATGGAGAAGTTGAAGGGTTTGTCTGTTTTGTACTGCTATCTGCCTCCCAACTGGGGAAATTTCCCTTCAATATACAGTTTGCATGCATACATACATACTCATTTATTTTCGTTTTAATCTTTGCTCATGTAGATAATTACTACTGTAGGTATACAGATTAGTTAGAGCTACAGTCAAGTAAACCAACACATACAGACACTGCAAAATTTGACCTTGGCATCTAGGCAGAGCCGGCGCTACAACACAGGCAGCACAAGCGGCCACTTGAGTGCACTGGTGGGGGAGGGCAGAAAAACACCACCTCCCTCCCATACATAGGAGCAGTGGCATGGGCGGGGCTCTGAGCTGCAGTTTCCTATATTCAGAGCCCCGCCCCCATCTCTCTCTGCTGTGTGCTCTCGCCGGATTCCTGTTGGAAGCCTGCACTGTCCCGGCCGAGTTATTAACATATGAATGGACGGCTGTATTTGCATATCAATAAGCCATTCATATTGAAAATATCCATTCATATGTAAATATCACAACTAATTGATATGCAAATCAACGCCCCTCTGCTGTTAAGAAACAAAAACTAGCCTGAAGACTGCAAGAAAAAGGAATGTTTAAGTATGTGTATGGTCAATACTTTCGTTACATTGGCGGTCATTGTGAATACTTTTGTTACATTGGCGGTCGTTGTGAATACTTTCATTACATTGGCGGTCATTGTGAATACTTTTGTTACATTGGCGGTCATTGTGCATACCTTTGTTACATTGGCAGCAATTGTAAATACTTTCATTACATTGGCGGTCATTGTGAATACTTTCATTACATTGGTGGTCATTGTGAATACTTTGTTGCATTGGCGTCATTGTAAATATCTTTGTATACATGGATATCACAGATATCCTATTAGTTTTGGAGTGCTGCTTTATGGGATGTCTTTGAAGGGCTAGCGCTACCATAAGACGGCCTAAGGGTGCCGGGGGGTGGGGGGGGGCAGAAAAAATGCACCTTCGCCTCTGTAGGCAAAAATCCTTGCACCGGCCCTGCATCTAGGCTTCGATGGCCTTTGGGCATTGAGGGCTAAAGCGGTTTGTAATACCAAAGTATCTCTCTATAATAATCTGTCAACTTACTAATTAAACTTTCTTTTTTTTTCTTCTAGGTTACAAATTCTGAAACCAAATGAAAGAACTACAATGGTGTTTGATATCACCCCATACAGACAGGGTGAGGGAAGTCTCCTAGCAGATTTCTCCTCCAAGAAGTTCCCAAATGTTAAAGGCTTTCAATCGGTTCCAGTGACTAAATCATAAAAAGCGATACCTCCCGAGAGAAGAGAAGATACAGGGCAGTTAGAAACCTCATATGTTGATGGCACACAGAAGCAGCACCATGCACAATGATTTTCAAGCATATTGTAATCTGCATTTAATTCTAAATAAACTGAAACGCTAGTTTATTGATTAAGAAAAAGTTGTATATTTGATTGGAGGTTTAAAAAGCAAGTGTTGGCTTCCAGAAAGTTGCCATGATAACAGGCTAGTATTGGAATGTCCCAAGAAATGAAGGCAGAGGTATTCCTAAAGGAAAGTCACAAAGTCTGAGGAAGACATAAAAAAGTGTACATAAAGCCGAACGATTATTTTAATTTTATTTTTTTTCCCCCTCACCCCCTGTAACTGTAAAATGTTGGATTTCCCATAGCCTTCTGGTAATGATGACAGTGGTTCTGACTAGACATGTGCAATTCGTTTCTTTCCGAATCGAAATTCGGACGAATTTTCGAAAATTCGGACATTCGGATGTATCCGAATTCCGAATTACAGACATAACGAATGCAAACGAATCCGAATTTCCATTTCCGAAATTCGGTAGCGTTAGTTCGAACGTTCGTTTCATTTTCTGTTCTTATTCTTTTCTTATTCGTTTCTTATTCGTTTCGTTTGTTGGAGCAAAGTGACATTAGAGAAGGAGAAAAATATTTTTCCCCCTTCAAATGTCACTTTGCTGCAAACGAACGAACGAAACGAATAAGAACAGAAAACGAAACGAACGTTCGAACTAACGCTACCGAATTTCGTCCGAATCCGAATTGACTTTCACACCCGAATCCCGAAAAACGAAATAACACATATCCGAATTTAAAACGAAACGAAACAAATTTTTTGGCAGTGCACATGTCTAGTTCTGACTATGGCCACCAGAACAATTCTAGACAGTGAATCTTTGGATGTACCGTGGTACCGAACAGAATAGCAAATCAATGAGAATAGTGTTTAAAAAAGTTTAAAAAATATGTTTAAAAATGTAAATGAATTTTTTTTTAAAAGAAAAAAATGATTAAAAAATGGGTGGAGCTAGCAGTGACAGCTAGCTCTGCCCAAATGTTTCCTATTGGCTAGCACCTGCTAGAGTCTTCTAGCAGGTCCCGGCCAATGAATAACTGGGCAGAGCTGGCTGTGATGTCAGGGGCGGCTCCACCCAGTTGTTAATGTTTAATGACAGATCAGTGTCCCCAGGTCATTTGGGGACGCTGATCTGTCATTACAACTGGGCGGTCCGTGAGGTCACGGCAATCCGTGAGGTCACGGCTGGCACCGCCCAGCTGTCATTTGCGGGGTTAAAGGCCGGTCTTCGGCAGGCCGTTCGCCCCGCTTCAGGTATCACATCGGCTCAGTCGAATCGAAGCCTATGCCTTCGGCTCGGCTGAGCCACTCGACTGCCTTCGGCTGCTGTAGGGCTATAGTGAATAGCCCGTAAAGCAGCCCTTCAGTTCAGCTCCAGTGGCCGAAGAGAGCCGAAGGATCAGCCAAAGCTACGGCTGGATCCTTCGGCTCCTCTGTGAATAACCTCCTAAAATTTTGTGTGGCTTCCCTGCGGGTACTCCAGTTTTCTCCAACACTCCAAGGACATGCGGGAAAGTTAATTGACTCCTGTCTAAATTTTCCCTGTATGTGTAGATTGTAAGCTCGAGGTCAGGGACATGATGTGAATGTGCAGCATGTAAAGTGATGCGTAAATTGTCAGCTCTATATAAATATTTGTACAGGCAGTCCCTGGGTTACGGACGTCTGACTTACGGACAATCCGTACTTACGAACCGAGGTCCACAGTTCTCCTAAATGTACCAGCAGCCACCGATACATTTAGGAGAACTGTGGCAGCAGCGGCCTGTGTCCCTTCAAATCCCCGCTGCTCTCCCCGCCTGTGTTGGCGGGGGCACAGACCTCTGCATTCCTCCGCTGCCCCCGGTACCTCCGCTTCTTCTTCTTCTTCCGGCCCGTCCGCACCTCCTCTTCTGCCAGTCCGTCTGCTCCTCTTCCCGTGTCCGTCCGCTTCTCCCCGTCCATCCGCTCCTCTTCTCCCGGTCCATCCGCTCCTCTTCTCCCGGTCCTCTGCTCCTCCGCTCCCCGGTATGGCTGCTTCTCCTCTGCCCCGCCCCCCTGCCTCTTCATCTGCAGGCTGGGAGCCATACCCAGCCTGCTATTGGATATTGTAAAATGCAATAGCCAATAGCAGGCTACCTATTGCACCCACCCACTGTCTGCTGTCAATCAGCATGGGAGTACCTGATAGATAACTTTCTCCTTCAGGTCCCTCCTCTGCTGATTGACAGCAGGCAGATGCAATAGCCAGCCAGCTATTGGCTATTGCAATTTGAAATATCCAATAGCAGGCTGGCTATTGCTCCCAGCATTAAAATTAAAAAAATAAAAAAAGGTTTAAAAAATAAAAACATTTAAAAAGACAAATAAAAATTTTTTAAAAGTTAAATAAATAAAAATTAAAAATGCAAACAAATAAAAAAAATAAGTTTATAAAATAAAATTAAAAATAGAAAAAAACTTTTTTTGGTGTGTCATTTTAAATAAAACATTTTTTAAAATTATATTATAATCTTCTGAACAATGGGAACAGACAGCAAATCAAATGTGACCGTTCCCTATGCTATCCAAAACGAAAAAAAAAAATTTTTAGCTGGAGTTACACTTAAAAAATGTACCTGTTCCAACTTACATACAAATTCAACTTAAGTACAAACCTACAGTCCCTATCTTGTATGTAACCCGGGGACTGCCTGTAATAATAATAAATACAATTTAAGCCCAATATGTATGCTATCGGATGTCATCTACACTTTACTGCTCATATACACATGTAAGTGATGGTCAGACAGTAAAAAGACAATAGACCTTTAACATTTAGCCCATTTCTTATATCTATAAGAGTCAGTTCACAGATATCAACACCACAATTGTATATATTGACGTCCAGCCGTAGCTCATCCACCCACTCCAAAGTTACCAAAAAACAATAATAATACTCCAACTCAATTAAACGCAAATACTCGTCAGATTCAGCACTCACCAGAAACTTAAACACGCATTTCTGAAGGTCTATAAACGCTTGTGTTACGGCCTCCCGATCGTCATTTCCCCTGATATTCGCCTGCAGCAGCAACATTCGCCCGTGCTGTTCTTCCTCCTCCGAGCTCTTTGGCCACTCGAGTTCCAAAGTAGCACAGATTAAAGGGATCAATCCACCTGAGACCTTCCACCTTTCCTCCAGTAAATTTGGCAGGAGCTTGATACAAAAATAAAACCAGCACAGTGTAACTCCGGTATAAGTAAAACCAGGTACAAACACCAGCTCTAGCATGCCTGACATGTTTTGTCCATTGAGTTCAAAGGTAGGGTTGCCACCTGTCCAGGATTCACCTGGATAGTCCGGTTTTGAGTCCTGTGTGTGCTGTTTCCAGGTTTCAGGTCAGCTGAAACCCAGACACAGCACAAACAGCACTCAAAACTCGGACGGTCCAGCTGAATCCGGGACAGGTGGTGTTTTGGACCTGCTCACAAATTAGATCGGATCAAAGGTTCCGTACTTATATCTGCCGCCTGGCCTGATTATATATAGAGTGCACACTCAGAGAAGAAAACCACGCTGAGACGTTAGTCCAGAGTAAGATACTTCTGTTTTTGTTCTTCTGCTTTTACATGGTTTTATTTAGGCAGCTAAACGTGTATATTTAAGCGTAGCATTGCAGAAAAGCATTTTAGTTTATATATTCTAGCTTATCATTGGTTAGATCCATTTATGCATAACTTCCTGCCAAGATGTTTATATCTTTCGTCTTGGGTGTTGTCTGAAGAGGAGGCGCCATCTTAGTTCCTATTTCTAGTGCGTACTTCGGATATGAGGGGGAGGGGGTGCTTGAGCACCAATTTCTGAGTAAGGTTTTGAGCAAGGTAAACAAGAGCAAAGGAGAGCGAAAAGCAAAATAACATATATATTACAATTGATCTATTGAGATAGGCATTTTGTCATAATCATACTTAACCACTTCCATTACAGTGGCAACCCTATTCAAAGGCATAGTGCTGGCTAGACAACAATTTCCTTAAAATACCTAAAAATTGGGGCGCATGCACGCGGCTGTCGATGTCGGACGGTGAGTGAGACGGCTCCGCAGTTCCCTCGGACAAACTCCCCATAAGCAAGGAGCTAACAACTCCCCAACAGCCGAGAACGTTCGCACTACCCTAGACTTACCTCGCGGTATAGAACATGTCTAATACCGGGCAGCGCAGAAACCAGAAATCCCAACAAACGGGGAAACCCATTGCAGAGGCCTTAGCTCGCGCCTCGGCCAAAATGGCGGCCCCATCTACCACACGCACGGCACCTCCACAGGCAATATCTGCATCGAGCAGTGACATGGAGGAAGAGGTACAAGAAGACCCCCGCCAGCAAAAACTATCACACGGCAACCTACTACATCAATTTGACACAATGCTACAAAAGGCACTTCAGGTGACCTCAAAGCAAATCACTGACCATCTTCTGAAGGAAATAAGGGAAATCGGTTAACGTACAGCGGCCCTAGAGGATAGATGTGACGGCATCTCCCACGATCTTGCGGATCAGGGGAAAGAACTGGACAATTTACGAGATGACAACAAAATACTACTGTCCAAGCTTGAGGATATGGAAAATAGATCTCGCAGATCTAACCTCCGCATCAGAGGCCTGCCGGAACACATCACAGACCTGTTCGCCACGGCCCTTGCCTTATTCCAAGAACTGGCTCCGGAGCTCCCAGCGGACCGTCTAGAAATAGACCGCAGAAAAGTGGATGGCCCACCGCGGGATATATTGGTAAAACTCCACTTCTTCCGCACGAAGGAATCACTGCTTGCAGCGGCCCGCACCAAGGCCTCCCAAGCTCCGCTCGTCTTTCAGGGCACGGAGTATCAACTCTTCACGGATCTTGCCCCCTCCACCATAATGAAGAGGAGAGCTTTGAAGCCATGTCTTGAAGTGCTCACTAAATGCC